CTTTTAAACCCGCGGCATTCTATTTTGTAATTCAAAATAGTTTGTGCTTTTAAACCAGCGGTAATATATTTTGTAATTCAAAATAGTTTGTGTTTTTAAACCAGCGGCATTGTATTTTGTAATTCAAAACAGTTTGTGCTTTTAAACTCGCGGTAATCTGTTTTGTAATTCCAAATAGTTTGTGCTTTTAAACCCGCGGTAATCTATTTTGTAATTCATAATAGTTTGTGCTTTTAAACCCACGGTAATCTATTTTATAATTTGAAATAGTTTGTGCTTTTAGACCCGCGGTAATCTACCAAATAATAATGAATCGCCTTTGATTGATTTCGTAATTTTATATCATAATTTATTTTAGAAATTCTTTTAACTGTAAACCGTATCCTAATACTAAAAAAAATGCGCCTCGGTTGAACACAGTGGCAGAGATAGAGCGATGTCAAACATTTAGCTCCAGAGCCGTTACCGAAACTTAGAAGAAAATAATGGCGAAATACTCTCTTTCAAGAAGGAATACAAAAAATGTTAACCCCTTAAAAGCTTATGTCAGCACATCAAACATCTGTTTGATGTGCTTTTTACATTTTTTTTTCTTCAAAGATTTAGTTCGGAAAAGTAATCTTTTCCCTTTACTTTAAAAAAAAAATCCAAAGATATTTTTTATTTATTTGTTTTGGAATAAAAACTTGTATATGACAATTTAGCAATTTTTCTATACTTACACAGTTTACTAAATTGTCTTAGGAAAAGGTTCAAATTTTATTAAATGTTAAATTTTTAAAACAAATAATAAAATATAATATTTTGCTGATTCAAAAAGTTAGCTATAAATCGATTTTTTTTTAACTAATGAGATTTGTTTTGTAACTTTTAACCGATACATGAACGATAACAGAATGCATTGCTTCCTGTGTATGTCTGTTTACATAACCTAATGCAACAGTGGCAAAACTGTAGATTTCTCTACGTGTAAACCAAGAGAGAAAGCGTTTACGAACTGAGTTATAGTCAAGAAAGTTGCAATAATTGTTACTCAAAGACGTTAGTAAATACATAATGAAATATAATATTTTGTCGATTCAAAAAGTTAGCAAAAAAATAGATTTTTTTTTTACTGATGGGATTTGTTTTGTAACTTTTAACCGATACATGAACGATAACAGAATGCATTGCTTCCTGTGTATGTCTGTTTACATAACCTAATGCAACAGTGGCAAGACTGTAGATTTCTCTACGTGTAAACCAAGAGAGAAAGCGTTTACGAACTGAGTTATAGTCAAGAAAGTTGCAATAATTGTTACTCAAAGACGTTAGTAAATACATAATGAAATATAATATTTTGTCGATTCAAAAAGTTAGCAAAAAAATAGATTTTTTTTTTACTGATGGGATTTGTTTTGTAACTTTTAACCGATACATGAACGATAACAGAATGCATTGCTTCCTGTGTATGTCTGTTTACATAACCTAATGCAACAGTGGCAAGACTGTAGATTTCTCTACGTGTAAACCAAGAGAGAAAGCGTTTACGAACTGAGTTATAGTCAAGAAAGTTGCAATAATTGTTACTCAAAGACGTTAGTAAATACATAATGAAATATAATATTTTGTCGATTCAAAAAGTTAGCAAAAAAATAGATTTTTTTTTTACTGATGGGATTTGTTTTGTAACTTTTAACCGATACATGAACGATAACAGAATGCATTGCTTCCTGTGTATGTCTGTTTACATAACCTAATGCAACAGTGGCAAGACTGTAGATTTCTCTACGTGTAAACCAAGAGAGAAAGCGTTTACGAACTGAGTTATAGTCAAGAAAGTTGCAATAATTGTTACTCAAAGACGTTAGTAAATACATAATGAAATATAATATTTTGTCGATTCAAAAAGTTAGCAAAAAAATAGATTTTTTTTTTACTGATGGGATTTGTTTTGTAACTTTTAACCGATACATGAACGATAACAGAATGCATTGCTTCCTGTGTATGTCTGTTTACATAACCTAATGCAACAGTGGCAAGACTGTAGATTTCTCTACGTGTAAACCAAGAGAGAAAGCGTTTACGAACTGAGTTATAGTCAAGAAAGTTGCAATAATTGTTACTCAAAGACGTTAGTAAATACATAATGAAATATAATATTTTGTCGATTCAAAAAGTTAGCAAAAAAATAGATTTTTTTTTTACTGATGGGATTTGTTTTGTAACTTTTAACCGATACATGAACGATAACAGAATGCATTGCTTCCTGTGTATGTCTGTTTACATAACCTAATGCAACAGTGGCAAGACTGTAGATTTCTCTACGTGTAAACCAAGAGAGAAAGCGTTTACGAACTGAGTTATAGTCAAGAAAGTTGCAATAATTGTTACTCAAAGACGTTAGTAAATACATAATGAAATATAATATTTTGTCGATTCAAAAAGTTAGCAAAAAAATAGATTTTTTTTTTACTGATGGGATTTGTTTTGTAACTTTTAACCGATACATGAACGATAACAGAATGCATTGCTTCCTGTGTATGTCTGTTTACATAACCTAATGCAACAGTGGCAAGACTGTAGATTTCTCTACGTGTAAACCAAGAGAGAAAGCGTTTACGAACTGAGTTATAGTCAAGAAAGTTGCAATAATTGTTACTCAAAGACGTTAGTAAATACATAATGAAATATAATATTTTGTCGATTCAAAAAGTTAGCAAAAAAATAGATTTTTTTTTTACTGATGGGATTTGTTTTGTAACTTTTAACCGATACATGAACGATAACAGAATGCATTGCTTCCTGTGTATGTCTGTTTACATAACCTAATGCAACAGTGGCAAGACTGTAGATTTCTCTACGTGTAAACCAAGAGAGAAAGCGTTTACGAACTGAGTTATAGTCAAGAAAGTTGCAATAATTGTTACTCAAAGACGTTAGTAAATACATAATGAAATATAATATTTTGTCGATTCAAAAAGTTAGCAAAAAAATAGATTTTTTTTTTACTGATGGGATTTGTTTTGTAACTTTTAACCGATACATGAACGATAACAGAATGCATTGCTTCCTGTGTATGTCTGTTTACATAACCTAATGCAACAGTGGCAAGACTGTAGATTTCTCTACGTGTAAACCAAGAGAGAAAGCGTTTACGAACTGAGTTATAGTCAAGAAAGTTGCAATAATTGTNCTCGAAATTTTTGCTCTGTTACAATCGTACCCTGTTACAATTGACCCCACTCTCCCCTACATAATTTAATTTTAAAAAAAAGTTAAATGATCAATAGAAGTTCAATAATATTTTTTTAAATATAATAATAATAATAAGCTGCATTCTTTATCTATAAGCTGCATTATTATATCTCCGTTTTCTTAATCAAAATCTATAACCTACGAAAATTTTTCTGATAAAAAATCCGCAATTTTACGTAGAGAAAAGCATGCTGAATCGTGTTTCACAGCCTTAAAGAAATAGTCTAAATCCAATGTAAATGTTTGTTTTGATTTTGTGGTCGAATTTAAAATGATATTCCACTACGCTAGCGTTTTTAACTTCCGGATTTTTGCCAAATCTCTTATTTTCACTTACGTAAGTTTCATGTGTTTCCACGGGAGCATGCGCATTGCACCAGAGCTGATGCATGCGCACTTGTAGTGCGCATGCGCAATTACTCGAAATCATACTAACGGGAAAATACGGAAGCTAACATAAATTTGCAAAATCTCTCTAGTGTCTCAAATGTTCTTCATTATTTAAATATGTTGTATAATTATTGTCGAAAGTGATGCATTTCGTATTTAAAAAAAGTATTTTCTCCCTTTAAGATACTTTCAAAACTTAGTTTTAAATTTTTGTTTAGCAATCCTGTTATGCTAACTGACAATTTTGTTTCTTCCGAATTAACACATTCCTTGGCCAAATTATTAAACGCACTGTCAAAAATCTTAATCATCAGGTTATACTATACAGCTTTATTGTTTTTATGCAACTGAAACCGGTTTGCACTTGTTTACGTTCGTGTATCAATTGGTTAACATTGTAATGTAATACGTTAAAAATAAATACAAATAGGAAGTATTTAAGATATTTCCTGTATTAAAACCCATTACATGTAAACCACTAAATATAAAAATATTGCATATAAACTCATGCAACATAATTATTAAAACACTACAGTGCGTCTAATAATTTGATCTAATTATTAGAATATACTAATATAATACCTGATATAATAAATATTCTATATTTATATAATATACCGTCTAATTTATCCAATGGTCGAATTTATATTATTTATCGCTTAATTTAACCAATTGATACACGAACGTAAACAAGTGCAAATCTCTTTCAGTCGCTTAAACACAATAAAGCTGTATATAACCAAGTGATAATTAAGATTTCACATAGAATCTTATAGTGCGTCTAAAAGTTTGGCCAGAGACTGTAGCATTTATTCACTCACTATCGTAAGAGGATAAAAGCTAACATAAAAACGGGTCAAACGCTATATTTTTTTCCCCCTGTTATCAATCCATAAATCATCACTTCGCTACAGATGACGAATTTCAAACCCCTTATTTTATTCCCTTTTTACACCCGCGTCTCTATTGGAAATTTTTTTTCAACAAAAAAAAAATTTCTTTCTTTGAAATGGAATGGCCTCAAGCCGCAATCCCCCCAAGAGTATTTTGCTCTACGCCTCACATCTTCCAAGTGAAAAATTGGTTTTAAAACGACTGTCAGAAAAGTAGATAGTGTATAGATATTTCCAGCATTGGTTATTACTGTCATTTTTGTATTTCAAAAAGAAAAAAAAAAGTGCTAGAAAGTTCCTTAATACTATTTTTAGACGCGTTTTTTTTTTCCATCTCATCTGATTTTGTTCTGTCCGAAAACTGGATACTTTCTGGAAATTTTTTTTTTTCGTTCTTATTAGGCCACTGTTCGATTTTCAATCTTTGACGAGTATTTTTGACTTCCGTACATTATATTTTTTTTCTTCTCTTCCTTACAGTTGAATGCTCGGGGTCTTCCTGTAACAGAACTTGTTCCGGTGAATCTGGCGAAGAAGTGGATAAAAACTGTACACAGGATGACAGTAAGTTTGTTTCTTTTCTGACGGTTTTGGAACTTTTCAATAAGCCTTGTAGTAAGGGTGAACAACAACAGACGAAGCCTCTTAAAAAAAAAAAAAGAAGGATTTTTAATACATTTTGCAACGATTGTTATAAACTTAATAAATTTTTTTTTATATCAATGTACATATTTTTATCTTAATTTTATCGTTTTACAAAAAAAAAAAAAATTTCAAAAATTAGCGAAAAATTAAATTACAGTGCCTATAACGAATTTTTTAAAATTATCCATAACTTGCCTGTAGTCGCAAGTTGAAAAAAAATCATCCGAATTTGATTCGGGTTTTAAATTTTTTTAGAATGTAGTTATCGTTGCCCGTAGGATATTTAACACGTTGAATGCCACGCTAATTTTACATGGCTTGCCCGTCTGGCAAAACGGTAAATAACTAGAAACTAAATTTGCAAATATTTATTAGAATATAAATTTGCAAATATATTTTGCTAGTTTTTTTTAAGAGGTTTAGCATGATATATCTGAAAAAAAGTGGTGAATTATATAAGCCTACGAATTGTTTAGAAATAGTGGTGGATAAAAATCTTTTAAATTTAATTGATTAAACCAAGAATCACAATTAATAAACTACCACTTGAAAATATTTATTTGCTGTCAGGAGCAAGTTGGCATCTCTGTGCATATAAATAAAATTGTTTTTGTGTGTTCTATCTTGCATTAATTTCTTCAAACGATTTTAGTAACGATAATAATATCAAAAAATTAAACATTTAATCGAATTATGTGTTTCTAATTTTCCACTGGTGACCCCCGTGGCGCTAGGAAGAAACTCAGTGCCGGTCACCATTGACATGGCATTCAACGTGTTAATAAATTTATTTATATCAATGTACATATTTTAATCTTAATTGTAACATTCTATAAATACAAATATTCAAAATATTAGCGAAAAAATAAAATACAGTGCTTATAACTCATTTATTTAAATTATCCATAACTTGCTGTACTCGTTAATTGAAAAAAGAATCAATTGGATTTGATACGGGTTTTTAATTTTTTTAAACAACATATAGTTATTGTTAAACATAGGATTCTTAAAAAAATTCTTTTTTTTTCTTCTCAAAATGGCGGCGTTGTGAAAAAAAGTTTAAAAAAATGACATAAAATAATTTTTATTTTCGAGGATTATTTAAAAGCAGTCAACACAATCAAAAAATATTTGCCTACAACGAAAACTACAGTATAATACTCTCGATATCTCGACAAACCTTGTTATGTCAAAAAAATATTTCGCCCCATGGCATTACATATCCACATAATGTTAATTTGACTTCTCTTGTCGAACAGTTTCTTCTCAAAACCTTGTTATATCGAATATTTTCGAAATAGAATATAATTTTTTTCAGAAAATCACAATGTAAGTTTACTGTAAGCCAATTATTTTCTATTTAATGCAATATTATTTTCGTTTTGCTTTTAAAAATAAAATTATCATTTCCGTATTTAGATTTATAGTTAAATATAATTACATACATCTTTATTAGTAGTTATTTTTATGTTCCATGACTCTACTTTTTTAGAGTAATATTAGAATATATATATATATATATATAAATAAATAGAACATATTGAGTTCTGAACTTATCTCGAAATTCTTTTAGCGTTCCTTCAACTTTGAGATATCGTTAGTATACTGTACATTTATAGTAAATATTGCGTCAAAATTTGAAGTAAATCGGTTACAAATTGTAATTTCAACCTATCTAACCTTAAATTTGCTGTGCTTCTCTTATTTGCTGTAAAATACAGCAAATAGGAGGAACACATTTTCTAGCAAACTGCGTTTAAAGTTTTATGATCAATAATCCATATAAATGTAAGAAATTTTGCAACTAACTAAAGTGCACCGGGTCCATAAGATGCTTTGTCTATCATTTACAGCACATTAAGGTTAGTCTAGCCATTTTCCCTATTAATCCAATTTCCCTACTATTATCCCTCATATGTTTTAATAGAAACAGCTGGATCTTTAGTCATCTTTATTGTAAGCATACTCTATGACTGTCTACATTGGTTTATAATTGCACCAAAACTGTCATTAACCCTTTGAAACCTTCTTTAAAAATTATCGCAGCTAAAGAAGTTGCAGTATAAACTATACTGAATATACTATTTTTTTTTCTCACATAATTTAAACAAACTAGTTCAATAGAATAATTACAATGGCGGTACTTGTTTTTTTTTTATTTTTTATATTACCGTCGTTGAACAGCCGACCCAATTTTGCATTTATGACTACTACTGTTCAACTCCGTGGCCTTGCAATATTGAACCCAATCTAGAAGACAAGGAAACTCCTGGCGGACTTTTTGCTGGAACTAACCCGCATTTACATTACACGGAGTGGAAAACCTATCATTGTTACCCTGACGACAAGGGAAGAGTAACCCATGCTCCGTCTACCAATGAGGATATTTCACGTCAGCACTGTGGTCGGTGCAAGCCGTATGCGGAATTCGTATCAACCAGGCGTCGCTGGTATTCGAATCCGATTCATTGGAAGGCGAACACTCTATCCCCTGAGCCACCGAGTCTCAAATGATAGTACTTAAATAAAATGTTTCGATAGTCGACGAAAATCAATTCATTATTTTGGAAAAATAATCTTAAAAAAATAAACTATCAACAAAACAAAAAATTCTAATTTTTTTGGAAATTTTACTGTGTTGTTCCCTTTTAATGTTGAAGTGTCGCCAATATCTGTTACATTCCAAAGTGATCATGCTTAGTTTCCTATTACATGCGATTTCAATTATCTAAGTTATTTTCTGTACGTTACGTACAAAATACTGTGTTATCATGTACGAAATACAATTGCTAACTGTCACTGCTAACTACCAGCGCTCAACTGCAGCTAATTGCTTAATCACTCTAGGACTTTTCGATACCAGTAAATTGGCAATAAGTTACAATATAGCAGTTCAAATTATACGCTATTTAGTATTTGAATTATGAAACATAAGTTTATTATTTTTTTTGAATAAAATAATTATTCGAAAAATATTGAAATTATTAGATTCGTAAAATTTTTTAAATAAAATAATTATTCGAAAAATATTGAGATTAGTAGATTCGTAAACTCAAACAATAGTTAGAATATTTTTGTCGTTTTATTTAATGAAATAGATTTTTTTTTAATAGAAATTTGAAAACAATTTCAGCAAATATCATGGTTTTTTTCTTCCCTGGATTTAAAAGGAAATCATTTCAAACTAAAATGTATTCGAAATCGTTTTCAAGAGATATTTTCTATTTAATGAATGGAATTAAATAGCTCGGAAAAGATTAATTCAGAATGAAAAGAAGAAATAACTACCATAATTAAAACTTAAACAGCGGGCATTTCGTAACTGTAAAAAAAAAAACAATTTAAGTTAATGATAATGTATAGTGTTCCATTCGAATTGAAAATCGTCGTTTGAATTCCTAAAGACCTAAGAAATGAAGACATCTTTTCTCGAGGAGGAAAAAAAAAGAATACTCATGCTTTCCTAGACAATCCGAAATCATATATAAAAATAAAAAAAAATTCTCAAGTGAAAGAAAGTCTAATCTAATTTTATGGATTCTTCTTTAGCTGCAAAGACAGTCCTGCGAAGGAAAAAAAAACTGTTTTTACGATATTTTCCGCTGGGGTCCGATCGTCTGCGGTAAAAGGCCAATCAGCGAGCTCAATTAGCCGTGAAATGAGCTTTAGCGATTGCCCTAAGACCTCGCAATAAGCTCATCGCACACCTTCTTGCAAACGAAAGGGAAGAAAAAAAATATTAAAACAAAACGGACAAAAAAAAAAGTGAAATATAAAACTCTAGTTTTTTGGAATGTGGCGTTTAGTAGTTTCCGCTTGAATAAAAAAATCGTTTTCAAAACCAAAAGAATTCATATACTTTTCCGATGTCGTTCTAGAATAAACAAATCAGTTGTTTAATAAAGTTATCAAAGAAATTTTGCACAAATGATTACTTTAATTTATTTATTTTACTTACTATAATTGATATTTTCGCTGATTTGGCGAGCGATATCGATCTGGCACTATATTTTAAATGAATTTTTCTTTAATATTAATTATTTCAAATAATAAATTCCATTGCTAATTAATTATATTATTAAAGATTAAATCCAAAAAATGAGTATATTGTTAACGATATTTCCCTTGTTTATTAAAGGTTCAAATAAATTTTTATGAATTTATGAGAAATGTGAATCGTATTTTTTGCCAATTGTAATTAGAAATAAAAATATTTTATTTTTACAATACAAGCGAAAGTTATCAGAGGCGATGACTATAAGAAAGAAAAAAGTGGAAGAGCAATTTGAAAACAAAAAATTCCGATAATTGGCGGGTGGTAGCGAGCAGAGAGGGCACAACTACTTAATATGGGTCATGGATCACAGTCTCCTTGCTGTTAGACTAACCGGAAAGGTTTTCGTAGTTTTCATATCCATGTAGCGCAAATGCAGGTTAGTTCCATCTAAAAGTCCACCGCGAAGGCATATTTCTCCCAATGTTTTATCCAGAAGTTCCCTTGTCTTCTGGATTGGGTACAAGATTACAAAGCTACAAAGTTGAACATTAGTAGTCGTAAAACCAAAGTTATATATATATATATATATATATAAATATATATAGCATAATAAATAAAAACAAAAAAAGATGAAGAAAATTAAGAAAAACAATAAGTTNAAAAATAGAGGAGAGTTGAAAGAAAGTAATTTGATACACCTTCAAGCTTCATCAGGCAATCAAACTGGTTTGAGTTTTCTCAGTCTCGACTTCCGTGTGAGAGAATTCTTTCGTTCTTAAAATTTTTATAAGCGATTTCTAATAAACATGCTATTTTTACTTCGGTTTTGACATGCATTCTTAAAAATATACATTGAGGGTAGCCATTATGAAACACCCTATATTACTAACCAGAGCCGCGATGGCTCAGGGGATAGGACTTTCGCCTGCCCGATACGAATTCCGCATCCGGCTCGCACCGACCACAGTGCTGACGTGAAATATCCTCAGTGGTATACGGATATAAAATAAAATATATTGCTAACCAGTTAATTGTTTCTGTTTTAAATAACAATTCCCGCTCATTTGTTTATGTTTCAATAAGCAATTTCCGATTTTCAAATTTAGATAATAGCTTGTTAATATTTGTTATAATTTGATAACATTAATACTAATATGAAGCAAATGGATATTTATTGAAATATCTTCCACACCACATGCATATAAATTTCATGAAGAACGAACTTACCCTCTTCAGGCAGATCGGAATACAATCTTCTTATTCCTAACTACCTGATGAGGGAAAGCTCATTTTTCCCCCCAAAATCCCTTATTTTACTTTGTCTTGTGAAAGAAGCTTTAATATTTTATAAAAATTACACATAGTATTTTTTTTTCCTTCCCCTTAGGACGTTTACGCTACATTATATCATTGCATCTAACAAATCCGAAAGTGAACAGCATACTATCGGACAAAAAAAGGATGGACACATTTAAAAAGGAAATGGAAAATGCGGTGAGTAAAACAGTAAGAGAGTTTTATGTAGGTAATATGTGGAAATAATACTTTTTTGTGACGTAAAAATTACGTAGCATAAACTAAATTATAGCTCTAGTTTTCTCAAAAGTATTAAAATCTCATCAAGTATCGGTAATCTACATATTTTATTTTTACCTAGTGTAATAAAAAATCTAATAACTTGATTAATTTATTTAAAGAATCTTAATCTTCTTTTACCCTTCTGAAAGTGTATTACATTTTTAATTCGCCCATTACAAGATGAATGAAATTAACCATTAGAAGTTATTAGAAATTGAGGCGCCACTTAGTTAACGACGCTAATAGGTTTTTGAAAACTTTTAAAAAATGTTCTTTTTTTTCTTCTCTCGCTTTAGTAGGTTAGAAGAAATAACATTAAATAATGTTTTAGAACTTCCATAGATTTTTTAGAATATGAGAAAAATCGTTTTAGTTTTCAGAAGTTCCAAGGGTTTTTTTCGTTAAGAAAAATAGTGCTGTATAATTTTAGATAATTATTGTATATACAGTCCCTGGACAAATTATTAAACGCTCTGTAAGATTCTATTTAAAATCTTAACTATCAGGTGATACTATACAGCTTTATCGTTTTTTACACAGTTGAAACCGGTTTGCATTTGTTTACGTTCGTGTATTCATTGGTTAGCATTGTAACGCAATACGTTTGAAATAAATACAAATACGTAAAAAATCTCCTAAATAAATACCCATTACATATATGCTTAAATATAAAAGTATTACCTATAAACTCGTGCAGAAGATGTCATTATTAAAACACTACAATGCTTCTAATAATTGGGTCGAATTATTATATTGTAGGGGTGAGTGGGGTCAATTGTAACAGGGTACGATTGTAACAGAGCAAAAATTTCGAGTGTCGGGTTCTAGATTTGATTCCTAGGTGGCGCACAAAGTGTATTTAATAAATCTACATGTACACACCTGCTGGCAACCATTTTTATGTACTTTTGAAAGAGTTACATCACAAAAGATATTTTCACGC